TGACTATTTGCTTTGTGAAGAAGAACTTTCTGTTGTTAGTTTGAAGCCTGCTACCCATTCATTTCATTTGGTGTCCTCTAGTCCTTCTATTATGGGAACTAACGAAGAACTTTTCTTTATGCACCCTCTCCACGCCACTCATGCTTTTCATAGAATCATAGAATAATAGGACTGGAAGGGACCTCAAGAGGTCATCGAGTCCAGCCCCCCGCCCTCAAGGCAGGATCAAGCTCTGTCTACACCATCCCTGACAGATGTCTATCTAACCTGTTCTTAAATATCTCCAGAGAGGGAGATTCCACCACCTCCCTTGGCAATTTATTCCAATATTTGACCACCCTGACAGTTAGGAATTTTTTCCTAATGTCCAATCTAAACCTCCCCTGCTGCACTTTAAGCCCATTACTCCTTGTCCTGTCCTCAGAAACCAAGAGGAACAAATTTTCTCCTTCCTCCTTGTGACACCCTTTTAGATATTTGAAAACCGCTATCATGTCCCCCCTTAATCTTCTTTTTTCCAAACTAAACAAGCCCAGTTCATGAAGCCTGGCTTCATAGGTCATGTTCTCTAAACCTTTAATCATTCTTGTTGCTCTTCTCTGTACCCTTTCCAATTTCTCCACATCTTTCTTGAAATGTGGCGCCCAGAACTGGACACAGTACTCCAGCTGAGGCCTAACTAGTGCAGAGTAGAGCGGCAGAATGACTTCACGAGTTTTGCTTACAACACACCTGTTGATACAACCTAGAATCATATTTGCTTTTTTTGCAACAGCATCACACTGTTGACTCATATTCAACTTGTGGTCCACTATGACCCCTAGATCCCTTTCTGCCATGCTCCTTCCTAGACAGTCGCTTCCCATCTTGTATGTATGGAACTGATTGTTCCTTCCTAAGTGGAGCACTTTGCATTTCTCTTTATTAAACCTCATCCTGTTTACCTCTGACCATTTCTCTAACTTGCTAAGGTCATTTTGAATTATGTCCCTATCCTCCAAAGAAGTTGCAACCCCACCCAGTTTGGTATCATCTGCAAACTTAATAAGCGTACTCTCTATCCCAATATCTACATCATTGATGAAGATGTTGAACAGTATGGGTCCCAAAACAGACCCTTGAGGAACTCCACTTGTTATCCCTTTCCAGCAGGATTTAGAACCGTTAACAACAACTCTCTGACTACGGTTATCCAGCCAATTATGCACCCACCTTATCGTGGCCCTATCTAAGTTATATTTGCCTAGTTTATCAATAAGAATATCATGCGAGACCGTATCAAATGCCTTACTAAAGTCTAGGTATATGACATCCACCGCTTCTCCCTTATCCACAAGGCTCGTTATCTTATCAAAGAAAGCTATCAGATTAGTTTGGCATGACTTGTTCTTCACAAACCCATGCTGGCTATTCCCTATCACTTTATTACCTTCCAAGTGTTTGCATATGATTTCCTTAATTACCTGCTCCATTATCTTCCCTGGGACAGACGTTAAACTGACCGGTCTGTAGTTTCCTGGGTTGTTCTTATTCCCCTTTTTATAGATGGGCACAATATTTGCCCTTTTCCAGTCTTCTGGAATCTCCCCTGTCTGCCATGATTTTTCAAAGATCATAGCTAAAGGCTCAGATACCTCCTCTATCAGCTCCTTGAGTATCCTGGGATGCATTTCATCAGGACCTGGTGACTTGCTGACATCTAACTTTCCTAAGTGATTTTTAACTTGTTCTTTGTGTATCCTATCTTCTAAACTTACCCTCTCTCTGCTTGTATTCACTACGTTAGGCACACCTCCAGACTTCTCGGTGAAGACCGAAACAAAGAAGTCATTGAGCATCTCCGCCATTTCCAAGTTCCCTGTTACTGCTTCTCCCTCCTCGCTAAGCAGTGGGCCTACCCTGTCCTTGGTCTTCCTCTTGCTTTTAATGTATTTATAAAAGGTCTTCTTGTTTCCCTTTATGCCTGTAGCTAGTTTGATCTCATTTTGTGCCTTTGCCTTTCTAATCTTGCCCCTGCATTCCCGTGTTGCTTGCCTATATTCATCCTTTGTTATTTGTCCTAGTTTCCATTTTTTATATGACTCCTTTTTTATTTTGAGATTGTGCAAGATCTCCTTGTTAAGCCAAGCTGGTCTTTTGCCATATTTTCTATCTTTCCTACACAGCGGAATTGTTTGCTTTTGGGCCCTTAACAACGTCCCTTTGAAATACTTCCAACTCTCCTCAGTTGTTTTTTCCCTTCAGTCTTGCTTCCCATGGGACCTTACCTACAAGTTCTCTGAGCTTATCAAAATCTGCCTTCCTGAAATCCATTACCTCAATTGTGCTGGTCTCCCTTCTACCTTTCCTTAAGATCATGAACTCTATTATTTCATGATCACTGTCCCCCATACTGTCTTCCACTTTCAAGTTCTCAACTAGTTCCTCCCTATTTGTTAAAATCACATCCAGAACAGCTTCTCCTCTGGTAGCTTTTTCAACCTTCTGAAACAGAAAGTTGTCTCCAATGCAGTCCAGAAACGTATTGGATAGCCTGTGCCCCGCTGAGTTAGTTTCCCAACATATGTCTGGATAGTTGAAGTCCCCCATCACCACCAAATCTTGGGCTTTGGATAGTTTTGTTAATTGTTTAAAATGGGAGCTCTCTCTCCCATTGGTATAATGCAGCTACATAGACAATCTTACATTGTAATCTTGTAAGTGTGGACATGGCCTAAAACCCTGCCCCCATTTGTGGGCTCGGGGGGAGCATGAAAAGTCTTTGAAACACACTTAAGTGTCCTGTAAGTATTCCATTTGTAAATGTAGAATACAGTGTAGCATGTATATATGCTTTCTACAGAGTTGTCTTTGAACTCTAACTAAGTTTTCTGATAAAAAATAATTTACACTTTGGCGTAAAGTATTTTACATTGATCTAAAGAGCAATTCTTGAAATTATATCTTGCTACAGTGCTCCCATTCCCAATGTACTACAGGTTGGAAGGCTTTTCAAACTGTGATTAAGTATATTTGTTTAGCTTGATGACTTGGTGTAATACTTTTTTTTTTTTTTTTTTTTTTTGGTAACCATTTATTGTAGTGTGAAGATTGGAGTTGATTATTTTAAAGTTGGCCGCCATGTGGAAGCAATGAATGAATATAACAGGGCACTGGAAATAGATGCACAAAATGTTGAAGCCTTGGTAGCTCGTGGGGCACTGTAAGTCTTTTCCGCCCTTTGTTGTTAAAGAGGGATTCCAATATTTTATTTAAAGATAAATTGTGATATTTATTTACGATCCTGGATCACTTTTCTATTTTTATAGTTATGCAACAAAAGGAAGCTTAAACAAAGCCATAGATGATTTTGAAGTTGCATTAGAAAACTGTCCAACCCATAGAAATGCACGGAAATATCTCTGTCAGACTCTTGTGGAAAGAGGAGGCCAGTAAGTGATCAGTTCTATGCATTATGCAGTTATGAGCAATTCACGTGTTCTCATTATCTTTTTTTAATTGGGCATGCTAAGTGTTTAGAAGGGCAGGAGGAGATAAAATGCTCCTATGTGCCAACAATGAGAAGTTTGTAGTAAAAGCAGTTAAAGGTGTATAATCTATTTATTTTCTCCCTTGTTTTCAGGTGTCACCTACACTATTGTGCCTCAATTTCAGTTTCTTTTCTTTACTCTTTTTTTTTTTCTCAATACACCTTAGCTAATGGAATACTAAACCTACATAACATTCTATGAAGTTCTTGGATCAATATTTAAAAAGGAATTTTTATAACTTTTTACATTTTTGCAACTATGCTATGATTTCTGTGTGTTGTTTTACACCTGTATTAATTGCATATAAATACTCAGAATATTTAGGGAAAAAATTATCCATCCGAGTAAACAACAAGAGAGTCATTCAGAAGTAACAATTTATTCATCAAAAACTGGAATCACACTTTGAAAGTACAACGCTAGTGATGTTTAGGAAGTAATGATATGCATGGGGTGTAAACATCTGCATTTTAATGAGTTCCTTTTTAACATTTATCCGTCTGAGAATTAAGACAGGAAGCATTATGATCAAAAACAAATTCCATTTTTTTTTGTTCTAAACATTTTGTCATATGAATATTAGGTTGGAAGAGGAAGACAAACTATTAAATGCTCAGAATTATTATAAGAAAGCTTTAAGTTTGGATGAAACTTTTAAAGAAGCAGAGGATGCATTACTGAAACTCCGTAAACATATGCAGGTGATTCTTTACTTTCTCTTACTACTAAAATCAAAACTCTTATATAAACACTGGGAAGGGGGAAATTATTTACTGGTTACTGTGTTTTTCTTCTCCTCTTTCCCCTCTTTACAACACATCTGTCACAGTAAGTATTATGGCTGCATCTACAAAAAGCAAAGGTGGCTGTAGATGGTTTGATCATTTCAGATGGGTGGGGGAAGCAATAGCCCCTGCAGCTGGATGCAGGGAAAGACCAGAACTCAGTAATTGTCTGCTGGAGAGGAGAGAACAGCCTGTTCGCACTTGAGCTGGATTGCTGCTATAGATTTAAGACTTTCTGTAGGGTAAATCCCTAAATAGAAAAGTCAGTGTTAGATTATATACCAGGGTTGTAATTGGGAATAATCAGAGAGGAACAGGGTAAAACTGATGAAACCTAACTCAGAAGGAAGACTTGGTGTATCTCCACTTGGCACAAGAAGGGTCTTAATTTAAAGGCCCAAAGACAGCTGAGGATATAATGTCACTGAAATGAGCAGTTATGGTCAGTTAATTCAAAATTCTGCCAAACTTCTTGAGATGCAAATTAATAAGCAGTTATTTAAAATGCAGAAAAAAATAACAATTCATCAGGGTCCCAGCATTGGAGGAAATAAGGGGAAAAGCAAGTTCCCGGGTCCCTTTTTTGTTTTTCTCCCCTGCACGCAACATTTCCTTGGTCAGCACCTATGAGTTACCATGCCAAGCTCCTTTGTCTGCTGCTTGTCTTTCTGTGGCTTTTTCATTCATCTCCTTTACTTACTTTGTCTTCCAGATAGAATCAAAAAGAGTGAATTCAAGTTAGAGAACTGGGGCACAGGGTTGCTGTACTCAATGCTTCTGTGCTGAAGGAAGTAAATAGACTGGGGTAGAAGTGTGGTTCCTTTATGCAGGGTTTGATTGACACTGCTTTAGCAGGTGGGTGGAGCCATAATGTGAAAAGGTTTTGTTGAAGGATGGGGAAGAGGAGATCTATGGTAACCTTTATTAAAGCGAAATTATACTGCAGAAATATCTACTTAACAGTATGCGGGCACTTCCAATGTATTTGGTATTCTACAGACAAAAGTATTGTTGCTGTAACAAGGAGTCTTCTAATGAAAGTAATAAATTAAAGTGATTAAACATGTTCCAACTGAGTGAAGGAAATGGTTTAACTCTCACTCCAAGTTATAGTGATGGTGATGAGGGTCACTCATGCAACTGAGGAATATAAGACTTGTTGTTCAGCAGTTTATGTAAGTTTTCCCACAATAAATTAAGGGTTTCCCTTGTCCCAAGGCAGTACCTGTGACATGACTATTGCCAAGCCTCAAGAACTGGTATCCAGAGACATGCTGCTCATCCTAGATATGTATTCCAACTGTTTCAAAACATTTCAAGCATTATTACATTAAAACACATCAGGGAGCTTTTAGTGCACATTAGCAGGATCTACTTGGACCAATTAGCACATTAGTGTGTGTTAGAAATTGTCCCCCCCATTCCATATTGCTTCACTATAAAAACAATGCCAAGCCCTTAAAGAGCTATGGGACACAAGAGTCTACCCAGCTGATGGACTTAGCTAGCATGCCTTTAATCATTAATTGTTTAGTAACTGAAGGCTCCTTTATTTCTGAGTAAACCTTGGTTTATATGGCAACTAAAAACAGACTACTAGAATGATACAATTTACAGTTCAGATATGAAATATTCTTTTCCTGTAATACTGATGATATGTTTTTCTTCAATGCATTTCCTTCTGAACGGGACCGTTGCTGCTGACATCTGGCGCTGCTCATCAACAACCCACTGGAACATGATTTCTTATGTAAACATGCATCAAACTGGGCTGTGGTATAATTACTAAATGGTTTGTATCTGAACATGGCCACTTCCAACATCTTAAAATTGGATTTGTCATCATATTTTATATACAAACTATATTAATAACCATCTTTCCCAATACCCATCTCCCTGTTTCACTCTTCATTTGCATTACTAATTTTGTTGTATTTTTCTTGCATTTCCTATCTTTCTTTTGGTCTGGGTCATGGGTACCAATGCAATGGCTGGTCTCACTTTTTTTTTTAAATGATATTTACTGCAATATGGTCCTTAATACCATACTGATCGTCACAACAATTAATGCCAAATGCTTGCGCAATCAACTTCTATTTGATTAATGTAACCACCTCTTCTTGGAATCTTGGTATTGTATTCTTTGGGGGTGTGTGTGTGTATATATATATATATATGTGTTTGTATGTGTGTGTGTGTTTGTGTGTGTGTGTGTGTGTGTATATATATATATATATATATATATCATCTTGTGGTGGGTGGGGTTTGGATTTGGGGGAATATTGGGTTAAAATACTGTTACTTTTAATTTGATTTTTTTGACGTCTGGGTTAAAAAAAGAAATCTTTGGAAATGAGGGAGAAACAAGCTGCAAAAGAGAGACAGAAGGAAAAGAAAATAGAAACAAGTGCACAAAAACTGCGTAAGCTCTTAAAAGAAGAAAAAAGGTAACTCTATTATATTCAATATACTACATCCTAATTAAATCATCTACTGCTGATTAGAACCAGAGCATCAGCATTGCTTTATATAAAACATAAGTAAGTAAACAGCTATTAGTGTCCAGTTGGTAAAATGGATGATACTTCTGTTCCTGTTATTGCTACTTCTCCTATTTGTTAATGATTCATACTTTAGTTTCCATTTTCTTAACAGGTAACAGATGGATCAGGCAATAGTTAATAAAGGAACAAACTAATGTCCTTTTTTAAAATAAAGCCACTGAATAGTCACTGATACCTCATGGATACATTTCTATATGCTGCTTTCTTCCCCCACCCTATTACCTGGGTTAATGACATAAAATAATCTCTGATTTCAATAGTTATCTAGCTCCTGCTGCTCAATCCCCATATAAAGTTGTAATCCCATCTGTCTGTGACATTGTAATTGCTTCCCCAGCAACAAACAGTGAGGATATTGAACCAGGCTTATGCCTAAATGAGTAGATAAGCCCTTGTAGAATCTATTTTCATACAGATTTCGTTAGTTCTACCAGTTCTATACTATTCCTTGGCCTAAATTGGTATTTAGGAAGTACAATGGGATACTCAAAGGCTGCATCTAGACTGGCAAGTTTTTCCGCAAAAGCAAGTGCTTTTGCGGAAAACCGTCCATACCAATCTAGACGCTCTTTTCCGCAAATGCTTTTAACGGAAAAGTGTTTCCGTTAAAAGCATTTGCGGAAAAGAGCGTCTAGATTGGTATGGACGCTTTTCCGCAAAAAGTGCTTTTGCGGAAAACCGTCCATACCAATCTAGACGCTCTTTTCCGCAAATGCTTTTAACGGAAAAGTGTTTCCGTTAAAAGCATTTGCGGAAAAGAGCGTCTAGATTGGTATGGACGCTTTTCCGCAAAAAGTGCTTTTGCGGAAAACCGTCCATACCAATCTAGACGCTCTTTTCCGCAAATGCTTTTAACGGAAACACTTTTCCGTTAAACGCATTTGCAGAAAATCATGCCAGTCTAGACGTAGCCAAACTGAAGAACCCTTCCAGTGATATTAATGTCACAAATGGCCTGGTTGTTAAAGTCCCCCTCACATAGGAATGTCACTTGAAGTCCTGGCAGTTCTACACAGGCAAGGCTTGCCCAGTAAACCATCTTGCCACTAGTGGTTTGTGAATATTACTTAGGTTTTACCACAATCCAGGATCTTGCCTAAACTCATCTAAAGGTCTCTTTTGAGTCACGTTGGTTGGTTAGGTTGATAACAAAATATAATAATAATTTTATTATTGCAATAGCATATTTGAAGTTTGCTAACTTCGCTATTTCAAGAGTATGATCTGCACAGGACTCTATACAATCCTGTGTTCTTCCCATCTGATCCACCATACTTCAAGTGGCTGAAATGTACATAAAATACTTTTAAAAAATATAGTGTGGATAAAAGGTTTTCTCTGTGTCTCAGAAAAGCTTCTATTAAACATTTTGGTCTTGGAGCTATTCTTAGTTAAAAACTATGTTCCAGGGACCTTGAAAAGGACAGAGCTTTGCAGGAACATGTAGAGTCTGTAGATGATTCTGGTGATTCCTCATAAATTAATTACATTTTTAGGCTGAAGAAGAAAAGGAAAAGATCAACTTCTTCCTCTTCCTCCTCCTCAAGTGATTCCTCGTCTGCTGTATCAGTTTCATCCTCTTCCTCCTCTTCTGATCACAAAAGGCACAAGAAGAGGAATAGAAATCGGTCAGAGTCCTCTCATAGCTCCAAAAAACATTCATCTAGGCTTTCTTCACATCCACGAGATCAGGGTAGGAAAGACGAATGGTATTCGCCCCCAGCCGATACCTCTGCTTCCTTCCTTAACCAAAAATATGAAGTGGAAAAACTGCTGGAGCGGGAGGACACGTATCAAAAGACAGAGGTGAGAGAGAGACCTTTATCAAGGACTTCTGCTGATGATGAAGACCTTTTTGGAGGTAGGTCTGAAGATTCAAGGGATTCTTACAGTAGCTCCAGGACTCAGCCAGCCAGCAACAAAAATGAAAAACAGGATAAAGCAGACAGATCTTTCTCCAATAGGAGGGGTTCCTCTGGTTCATATCACTGGAAGTCAGATGATAAAACCAAGACACATACTTCTAGAAAGTTAGAAGAGGAAGTAGAGGGGAGAAAAGAACAGTTTAGAAAGCGTGGTTCAAGTCAGAGTGTGTATTCCACTTCTCCAGCAGGCTCGGATTACTCAGGCAAGTCTGTGGAAAAGAATAAACAGTACACCAGTGCTTGGTTATATGAGTACAGTAGAAATGATGATGGTAGGAGATGTGAGTTAATCCGCAGTACAAATGAAAGAAGAGAATATAAAAACAGCAAAATTAGTCATGGGGAAACAACTAAAGCAAAGGAGCTAGATGAGGAAACTACTCTCAATGGTAAAGGGCAATCAGAAAGTGGTGTTAAAAAGAGTCTGCCTCAGAACTTAATCAACATATTCAATCAAATTGCTGAATTTGAGAGAGAAAAAGGAAGTAAGCAGAAAAAACAAAGTACCTAAGAAATTAATGTGGTTACATTGGATACAATTAAAGGATTTTCTTTAGATCTTTAATTGCCATTAAGCTCATGTCCTTAAAATCGGTCTTGAAAAATGGACAGAACAGAATCTGTTTTTCTGTCTTACAAAATGTGTGTTTAAAGGCTGGTATTAGTGAAGTTACAGATCCTTTTGACAGTACATGGAAGAGCATCATATTGTATATCAAACAACTTAAGAGCATAGGATCTGAAGGGTACTTTTAAAAACAATTAGGATACTTATGTACAATTAATATTTAAGTGTGATTGGATGAAAACTTTATTCTTTGCTACCTTTAAAATATAGCTATTAACAGGCATCACATTTGCACTTTAAACACATGGGTATCTTTTCTAAGGTACAAAAATGGTAACAATAATATCATTAAGCCTAATTTTTAGATCTTGAAAGGGATTATTGGACTGAATGATGCAGATGTGCCACCAACATATATAACTTTGTTTAATCCATGAAATTTTATTAAAATTTGCTTGTTTTGTTTAATGCTACTTTTTGTCTGTGTTGAATTTCTAGTCTGTTTGGTTTTGCTATAGTACATCCCGTCCATAGAACTCATGGTGCCTTACAACCATGAATGAAGTCACCCTGAGAAATAAAGTATTTGTGTATCTGTTTTACAAATGAGGAAAGGGAGGCAGAGATACATGCCTCACAATCTTAAGTTCCCTCTAGGGTTGTGCCTGCACAGGCACACACTAAGAATTTTAATCCCACCCATCTCCTTAGCAGAGCCATGCAGCAGCACTCACCTTCCTTGGATCTGGAAGGTAAATGGCTGATGGTGGCTTGGTGGGAGAGTAGGGGAGACCAGGGCTACATGGTGGCTGCTCAACTGCTTCAGGGTGGGGCTATGAGGCTCCGTATGCTGGGGCTGAAGCCAGCGCACTGGGCAGTCACCTACCATGTGGCCTTGCCCTGAGAGCAGCCAGACAGCTTCATCCCGAGGCCCTGTCCTCAGCTCCAACCCTTTGCCGGAGCTGGAGCCAGGGTCGACCATATAGTGGCTGCTGGGGCTGTGGTACTAAAAATAGCACCGTGGTCCTGGCTCTGGCCCTGGCACAAGGGGCAGCTGCCTGCCACATGGCCCTGTCCAGAGAGCAACCAGGCAGCCCCACCATGCAGACCTAGCTCTGGCTCCAGCCCTTCCCTGGGGCAGACCACATAGTAGTTTCTGTGACTGGGGCCACAGTGTGGCTGTCCTCTTCAGCTTGGCACCAGCAGGGAATGGTTCAATGCATTGCCAAACAGGGGTGCACCTGTGTGAGCCTTCTCCCAGAGCATCTAGCACATGAACTGGCCTATTGCTCAGGACCAGGTGGGTGTCAGAGATGGTGAGTACCAGGCTTGGTGCCAGGATGGATGATTACCAGGCATGGTTTCAGCCTGGGAGAGTGCTAGGCTCAGTGCCAGGCTGGGAGGGTGCAAGGTTGGGTGAGATCCAGCCAGGGGCTGCCAGCTGGAGTGTGTGTACAAGGTTTGGAGGGTGCCAAGTTGGATGCCAGCTGTGCCAGATGGGGTGACAGGTTGGGTGCCAAGCAGGGTTGGTGACTGGGTGGGTACCAGGCAGGGAGGGTCCCAGGCTAGGTACAGGAATGGTGGGAGCAAGGCTGGGTGGTTTTCACAGTGGGTGGGTGCAGGAGTGGAGGTGCAGCCAGGACCACCTGGTGGCTGCCCAGGTGCTCCCAGAATACCAAATGGATACTGAAAATTGTGAAGTATTTTCTTTGATTTCATATTAAATATTTGAAGTCATGCACCTTGTTCATTATCCCTTGTTTTAGAATTTTTTTTCTCCCATAACTATTAAAATTTATTTATTTAAATATAATACAGGCAGTCCCCGAGTTACGTGGATCCGACTTACGTCGGATCCGCAGTTACGAACGGGGATTTTCTTGCCCCGGAGGACTGGAACGGCGGGACGCCTGGTCCCGCCGCCATATTTGAAGTCATGCACCTTGTTCATTATCCCTTGTTTTAGAATTTTTTTTCTCCCATAACTATTAAAATTTATTTATTTAAATATAATACAGGCAGTCCCCGAGTTACGTGGATCCGACTTACGTCGGATCCGCAGTTACGAACGGGGATTTTCTTGCCCCGGAGGACTGGAACGGCGGGACGCCTGGTCCCGCCGCCTGCCTCCTCCGGGGCGAGAAAAGCTGCTCCCGGTCTTCCTGGTCTGCTGGGGGAGCCAGCAGACCAGGGAGACGCTGAGCAAAGCCGCGGA